TATTCCACTGTATGTATAGACCACATTTTGTGTATCCATTCATCTGTGAGTGGACACTGGGGCTATTTCCACCTTTTGATTATTGTACGTAATGCTGCTGTGAACGTGGGTACACAGATATCTCTTCTAGTTCTTTCAATTCTTTTGGGTATATATGTGATAATTCTATGTTTCATTTTTTGAGGAACCTCCATGCTGTTTTCCACAGTGGCTGCGATCATTTTACAACGTTACCTTTTAAATAAAGGTTTTCATTAGACTTGCTGCTTGTTCTGATTATCCCATCACTTTCCAGAAAACCAGTGTGATATATCCTTTGACTTTTCATGGCCCTGCATGATGATGGTCTTTTCCTTCACTCTCCTGAGCCTCAGCCTTTCCAGTCTTTTCAGATTGATGTAATTGCTCAGAAAATCGCTCAGCCATAATAACCTCAAGTAAAATTACACCACTTGCTTTCTTTTAGCTATAGACATTTCCCTCTGTGTCCTACCTGTTCTCATTAGCTGTAGTTATTATACAACTCACCAGTGTCCTATTAACAATATCATGATACAACCACCTACATCCTATTAACTCCCTCTATTACACCACCTACATTGATCTTCTTAATTGAATCTATGGTGCTATGTATCCTACTTGTATGCATTTAGCTATATCTGTCAGATAGTCTGTCCCATTAGCTATATTACCCAATCTTTTGCAAACATTGCTTAACTTGCTAGCATCCTCTTTATAATATCTTCAATGCTGCCTAGTTGTTGTCTTGTAAAACTGTTCAACTGTTTAGATCTTAATAGGTCTAGGTATCAAAAGCCCACCAGGACACATCATTGAATCTGGTGGCCTAGCCATGAACATACCAAGTATGCAGGGGATTTTGGCCTTAAAGTACTCTGTTAAGAAGGATCTTCTCCTTTGACCAATACCATAGTGCCCACCAGGCTATATGAGCCACATTATTGGTGTGTGTGTGTGTGTGTGTGTTTGTGAGAGAGAGAGGGAGAGAGAGGAGAGAGAGAGACAGAGACAGAGACAGAACGTGTATGTGTGTGCGTGTATGTGAATGTATATGTGTGTGCATGCATGGGGTCGGGGTTGCTGGGATATGGGAGTTGACTGGACAGTGTGGATTGGAAATCCTGGTGAGAAGGGAGAGGCTGGAAGGAGAACACAGAGTGGGGAAAGGCCAGGGGGAGTGAGGGCTACAGGATGAGTTGGTGTTCATTTGTCAGGACAGAACCCTTTTTGACGCCATCATTTTTGTTAATGGCTGACAAGCCTGAATGATTGCATCATAGCAACCTCAGATGTTGCCAGAATGACAGCCCATCCCAGTTTCTTTTTCTGTGCTCATCTGAACCCTGATGAAGAGGAGGCTGTGCCCCAAGCACCACCCCCCCGCAACACTTGGACCACATGAGTGCTTGGTTAGCAGCTGCTACAGTCAAAGACCCTGTGCCTGTAGCAGGCAAACCACAGAGGTTGATGTTGATGTCTGGCGTCTCGGACGGGCCAGGCACACAGCAAATGCTTATGAAATACTGGGTGAATACTGTGAAAGGGTGACTTGTGGAATCTATCTTTTCGTTGTCATCACATAGCTTACTCCTGAGGTCAGGAAAAGATAAGAGGTCCTTAGCAGCCTTCTAGTACGCACTGAGGTTACTATTTGTAGGAACACTCCTGTTAAAAGGGCCAGTGAGCTGTTTACGTAACAGCTTCACACATAGACTATATACATTGACTTCTCAAGTGGTCCTATAGGAATTCTTTGCATTTCTGAAACACTTTTTATTTTTTTTTAAATTTTATTATGTTAGTCACCATACAATACATCATTAGTTTTTGATGTAGTGTTCCACGATTCATTGTTTTTGTATAACATCCAGTGCTCCATGCAGTACATGCCCTCCTTAATACCCATCACTGGGCTAGCCTATCCCCCCACCCTCCTCCCCTCTAAAATCCTCAGTTTGTTTCTCAGAGTCCACAGTCTCTCATGGTTCATCTCTCCCTCCGATTCCCCCTCTTCATTTTTCCCTTCCTTCTCTTAATGTCCTCCATGCTTGTTCCTTACGTTCCACTCTGAAACACTTTTTAAAAGCACTACCAAATCTGCGATCTTATTTCATGTGCTTCTGTTTATTTTTGACCTGCCATGGTGTAGATGGAGAAACTGAGCCCCTCCTAGGGTCTCATAGTAGAGTCAGGATGACAAGTCTCCTAACTGCTATCTATCCACCTCTGTGCATGGCAAACGGTGAATGGTAGAGGGAATTTTCAGGGCCTAACTGGGGTCCAAACTGAACATGCATATGCCACACTTCCGGGCGGTGTTGGGGATGTTCCTCCTTACAGTGCTGCGTGCTGGCCAGAAGTTTTCACAGGGATGTCACTGGACAGCCGCAGGGCCAACACAGCTGCCCAATGACCCAGGCCCAGCTTTGTGTAAATAAAATATCCCCATTCTCCCACCTCCATAGCCAGCTTCTGGGTTCTGTGTTTACCAAACACCTGCCAACGCATCATCCTAAACACAGCTGACGTCTGGGTCCTCTCCCCGTGCCCGAAGCCCCCTCCCTAATTTCTGCTTCCTGAGCTCATTGAGGAGCAGATGTCAATAGGTCCCCTGGCATCTGTGCCTGAGGGCCTCCAGGCAGGATGGGTCCCTTTTGAAGCTTGAGAAAGTACCTGGCTGTACTGGGCCAATTAGTACCCCCGCCCCAAATTCATGTCCATCTGCAACCTCAGAATGTGACTTCATTTGGATTTTTGTTGATGTCATTAGCTAAATGTCTTGAGAAGAAATCATCCTGGATTTAGAGTAGGCCCTAAATCCATGACTGGTGTCCTTCTAAGAGAAGAGGACACAGAAGTACCCAGGGAAGAAGGCCACATGAAGGCAGAGGCAGAGATTGGAGGTATGTTGCCGTATGTCAAGGAAGGTCTGGGGTCATCCAAAGCTAGAAGAGGCAAGGAAGGAGTCTCCCTAAGAGCCTTCAGGGAGAAGGTGGCCCTGCCAACACCTTGATTTCAGACTTCCAGCATCTAGAAGTATGAGAGAGTGCATTTCTGTTGTTGGAAGCCACTGAGGTTTGTGGTAATTTGCTCGCAGCAGCCAAAGGAAGCTAACACACTGGCTGACTAGCAGACAGGAGGTAGGACTGTAGGACTGGGCCTAGAGCCAGGCCCTTGGAAGTCCTCTGCTCCCCTCACTTCTCTTGCCTTCAAGGCCTAGGAGAATTCTTGTGCCAAACCAGGAAAGGAGCGAGTTGAAAACAGGAGTTCAGAGGAAGACCAGGGCTGGACTTCCCTGTTATCACTCTCACCTTGGTGGAGAAAGACTTCTGTGTCCTCGCCCCAGTATTATTACTACCTTTCCCAAGTGTCCATCAGAGGCCAAGCACTGGGCAGGCCTTTACATCATGTCATACTTTCTTTCCTTATATCTTAGTCAACTCAGGCCGCCATAGCAAAGTACCACGGATTGGGTGGCTTCAACAACAGACCCTTGTTTCTCACAGTTCCAGAGACTGGAAAAGTCCAAGGTCAAGATGCCAGCTGATTTGGTTCTTGGTGAGGCCCCTCTTGGCTTTTAGAGGGCCGCCTTCTCTCACCGTGTCCCTATATGACAGAGCAAGGAGGCAAGCCCTGCGTGTCCCTTCTTATGGGGGCACTAATCCCCATCTCAATACCTCACGATCTGATCTCAACCCACTTACCTCCCCCGAAGGGCCCCCCCCCTGCAAATATGCACTGGGGATTAGGGTTTCAACACACGAATGTGGGGGGACACAATCAGTCCATGGTGTCCTATAAAGACTATTAATAAAGGCGCTCTGTCCTGCTCCTAGTTTTACACTTGAGATTCGTCAAGTTATTCCAGGTCTCATGGCTGGCAAGCGGCAGAGCCAGGGTTTGAACTCGCGTCCAGGTTCACCTCAGAGCCTGCACTTAACCACTATGCCATAGTCATTGAACTTCTAGTAATAATAATTGCAGCTGCTTGTTGACGTAGCAGGAAGAGAGCCTGCAGAGCCACAGTACCCTCAGTGGCTCCCACTGCCTCCTCCCTGCTTCTAGCCCTGCCCTGCCTGCCCCTTCCTGTGCAGTAGCCACAGTCACATGATCCCTGTTCCAGGGGTGGCCCATGGAACATGTTCACACGTGAGGTGGTCTCTCTGGTTGCTTATCCCTGTCCCTTTCCATCTGACAAACTCTTGCCCACCCCACATGGTCCAGTTTAAATTTGCTCTGTCTACATCATTATCTAGCACATGTTACATGGCTCACAAATCCCAGTAGTGTGTGTGTGTGTGTGTGTGTGTGTGTATCTTTCCCAAACTGGAGTAGGATCACCTATTTTGGCATCTGGTACCTTCCACAGCATCTCTGGATCTGCAGAGCTCCTAATAAATGGTTGAGTAAGTGAAACATGTAGAAGACATGGAAGTCATTAAGTGACAAATACTCAGCAGAGAGGGCTATTAATTGAGGAGGAGGAGGAGAAAGAAAAGAACATCAGATATTCTAAGACAAGTACTTATAGAAGGAACCACTAAAAGCTTTGAGTTTTGAAAGCAAATGTTTAATTTAGGCTCTCCCTTCTGTGTGCTTGCAGATGGCACTCAATTCCATATAACGGCCAATCTATATTTTAAGATTTACTGTGAGTCTTACAGACTTTTCCTCTTTTTGATTATTAACTACTTTAGTTTTCTAAATGTATGTTCTTTAAAAGCTTGTCCTATTTCTAAACCTAATTTCCATTTGAGATAGCGCACCCCTCATTTGATGCTGGCCCCAGTGGGAATGCAGAGTTCAGGTTGTTGGTGTTCCAGGTAGAGCACACTTTCCAGGAGGTATGTGTCTTGATGTGTCAACTGAGGCCCATGTTGTTTCTTGAATTGCCTTCCCCAAAGGGGGACAGTTTGCACCTCTGGAAGGCCCTGCCCCAGGAGTACCTAACCACTCTTGCATCCCTGCCCCCCTCGCAGGCTGGCCGTACGTGACCCTCTCTGCCCTGGGATTCCTCTATTGCTACTCCCACGTGGGCATTGCCTGGGCCCAGACATACTCAGTGGACTAATGCCGCCCGGCCTGCACCAGCCCTTCCTGCTGGCCTCCACGGCAAATGGTGCTTCACCCTGACCTCGCACACCAAGATGACCTCCAAGGAACCAGTGCTTCATCTGCCCATCTGTTGTTGAAGTTACCTCACTCCAAGACTGGAAGCTTGAGCTTCTCATAGAAAATTGACAACCAGTGAGGCTTCTAACTTTGGGGACGCAGAGCTCATCTACCCCAGCCCCATCATTTTCCTGTTGAGTGAGCAGGGTCCAGAGCAGTATTATCTTGCCCAGCTGCACACGTTGTGGTCTAGAACCCAGTCCCCGGGGGCCCTTCAGGTTCTTTCTCCTTTACCAAGAATTAAATGCAATAGACATTTGTCAATTGGAGCACAGAAGTCCTGATTAGTGATAAGGGCTGTCCTCCACTGGCCATATTTCTGAAATATTTTGCTAACATTTAAGTGACCTCTTCCCCATGTCCTGCAGTGTGGTGTCTAGAGCCAGCACTGGGGTCTGAGCTTCCCACTTCAGCTCCCTAGCAGGGAGGAGACAAAGCCACAGTCAAGTTTCTAATTGCCCGGTCAAAGAAGATACAACCTGTCCTATAGTGTTCCAAGGGGCCAGTACCTAGGGAGATCTGTTATTGGAACACCATCACCATGATCGACATTTGGATGCTTGTTCCCTAGATTTGCAGAGAAGTATAAACATGGCAGTTCCTCTACCAGACAGTTAATCTTCATTTCTCAATAAAGAAGCAGAATTAAGAAACCATGAGCTAGCACGTCCACAGACAGGTGCTATCAGGCAAGTGACAAAGGGTAGGGATGGTTTCCTGGGGTCTTTTCTCCTCTCCACATAAGGAAGCCCCCAGCTTCCTGCTCACTGGTGTACACTCAGTGGTTTACATTGTTTTGTTTCAAATAAAATGGAGCCTTTTCTGTCACACTGATAATTCGCATTTTTGTGGAATCATTTTGAATGTTTTTTGAAGAAAATGCTTAAAATTTAAACACCTATAACTCTTCTTCACTCCTCTGGAAAGTGGGTGACAGGCCACTACTAATAGCCCCAAGTGGTAGATAATGCTGAATATATCTGTTTGGCTTTGGATTTTTTTTTTTTTTTTTGAGAGGGCAAGTGGTATGTGAAGAAGCTTGGAAGTTTGATCCATAGTGTACCTCATTATGGGAGAACTTAGTACATCTCAAACACATGGATAAAATTGCTATTGAAGGAAAGGTTCCCTTGGACCTGGTCTGGCCACACATCTCACATCTGCTCTCTGGTGTGGTCCTTGTGTCCTGGCCATGGCTTTTAACTCAATGAGATCATACTCCTAGAATGCAGGACTGGCCACCTTGCTGAAATCCTTACTTCCTACCCATTCTGCCCGGAAGAGCAGATGTGGGTGGAGCAGGCGGTGGGGAGCGGGCATACCCCGGGTTGACTGCTGCAAGGAACAGACCCAGAGGGGCAGGCAGGCTGACAGCAGTGGCCTCAGGAGCTGGCTGAGTAAAGGACAGGGAGGCCCGGGCAGGCGATTCCAAGGTGCCGGGGAGTTTCAAGGAGGGAATGGCGCTGGGAAGAGTGAGCACTCCAGTGACTATAGTGCAGGATCATGGACTAACACTAGTTCAGGAACTGTGGCCAGCCACAGGGAGTCTGGCTGAAGTTCACGTGGAAGGAAGGGGCTGGTTAAGGACACACAGGAGCGTGAAGATGTTTGTAGGCAAGTGTCTGATGTATGTACATATGTAAGCAATACAAAGAATTTTGAACTCTTCAGAGACACCATTTATGTAAAAACAAATAGGTTTATTCATTCATTCAACTTATATTGGAAGAATTGGTGAATATATTTGGAAGTAATAACCCTGAATTTCTTTTAAGCTATTACATGATTTAGAGGGGTTCTCGGGAATTAGTACATGATAATTTGAGGCCTGATTAAGCAACATGTGGATTATCTAGGACCATTGTTTTCTTTCTTTAACCTCTTGCTATTCTCCAACTGTAATATGAAAATGATAATAGATGTTTCTTCATGCATGTGAAGTAAAATCTTGGATTTGCTTTAAATGAAAGATTCTTGAAGTGCCTGGGAAGACAGAGCAGTTCCAGCTGAGGAGCATCTGACATGTCACTTTGCACAAGCCATCAGCCCTGTGCAGCTTCAGGCGTGGGGCTGGAAAACAACTAGACAAGGTCCTAAGGTCACGTCTAGCCCCAGGATCCTCTGACCTCAACCGAGCTCTGTGGGCAGGCCAGAGAGCCGCAAACACGATTGCCAAGATGATCCCCAAGGAGGCAAGCAAGACATCTGAAGGACAGCCAACTCTTCTTGGTCGTTTTGACTAATTCTTGGGGCCGTGCAAGAAGACTTCAAAGTATTTTATTATTCCTTCAGATTAATTTGTTTGAAGTGATAGCAGAAAGCCTTTTGTTCTATTAAAGACTGCAGGCCTAGAAAGAAAATATATCCATCACATATCTAGTTGTATAATGATCTATACATCTATACAAGATGGTAATTTAGTGGGATGGGGGTTTCCCTTAAAGAAATTGTGACGGCTCACTTGCTTATTTAAAATAGTAATTATTGACTACGTATAGAAATTAACCATAATATAATGAGTTTGTTTTCTAACAAATGTACCAGAACATATCCACACAATAGGACCAACTATTGAGAAGCCAGATTATCTTGACGGTGCTGGCCTTCCTCAGTGGGCACTGAGAAACCTGAGGCCCTTCTTCAGGGAAATTGTTTTATTTTAAAACAAACCAACAAAATCCCAGTAACTGACACCCCTTTGACACCCAGAATGTAGTATCCATTATTTAGCTCTATTACTAGTCCTTTTGACTAATTATAAAAATCATATTCACGAAGAGATTTTTCTCACTACTGAGGATATATAAAGAACATAATATTCAACGCTTTATTAGGTGAGACTTTTGAATGAATATCAATCACTTGGAATTTTAAATACTATCACCTTTCATTTATTTTTATTATGCTTTTCTGCAATATAATGAAATAATAGGTTGTAGAGGACACCATTAAAAATGCTGTATTCATGCTATGGCCCCATGAGATCAAGCAGAGGCCTGAATATGGCTTGCAGATCACAGATTCCTCATCCTGAATTAAGTTCTGTCTACAAAAAGAAAAGTGCCCTTCTTGAAATGCAGTCCACTGGCAAGAAATAAGAAAGGTTGACAGTCCCGTGGAGAATCTCACCACCCGCAGGAAACAATTATTAAAGCAAGTATTAAAACTTGCTTTTTAATGGTTCTGGAGCTATTAAAGGGGCGCCTGGGTGGCTCAGTTGTTAAGCGTCTGCCTTCAGCTAAGGTCACGGTCCCAGGGTTCTGGGGTCAAGCCCCAAGTCAGGCTCCCTGCTCCGCGGGAAGCCTGCTTCTCCCTCTCCCACTCCCCCTACGCTTGTATTCCCTCTCTCGCTGTGTCTCTCTGTGTCAAATAAATACATAAAACCACAGCCAAACCGAGAGTGCTGGTATACAGGACTAGTTCATTTAGGGGAAAGCAGTCCTCTACCTTACTAGCTTCTGAGACCATCCGTGAATTAAAGCACAGATCAGAACTCATGGTTGATGTGGAATCACTCCAAAAAGATTCAGTTATGTTTTTTACACTCTATTTTAAAAGGCAGGGAAGCATTAATATATCTTAACAGATTTCAACCCAAACTGTTTAAAATGTAGAAGTTCACTTCTAATTGGGAGGTCACGTTCAGATACGTATTAAATCAATGTGCTGAATCAATGCCAGCTTTGAAGGCATCTCGGGATGTCTAAAGAGCAGACACAGCCCTATTTCTGGATCATAGGGCAAACCACCTTCACAACCGTTCTCTCGCTGGGCTGTACTTAGACACACAACCTTGAGGTCTCTAGAATCCTAAGGTCCCCAAAACCGTACTCTCCAAATTAGGGCCTCCCAAGCTCTTGAAAAGGAATAGAAAGTACCATTCCTTGTTCTGTCATCTTAGGTCAGAACACCCAATTCAGTGCCTTAAAATTATGTAAGAAAAGGCAAAAGCAAGTATCATGTATAAAATAGTTTATTACCATAATAAATAAAACTTTTTTTTTTACAAATATCATTTGTGCTTGTTTAAAAATGTTGAGAAGGGTATATCATCAATGGAGGGGCCCGCATATTCCTTACCATTCCCAAGCTGCACACACACACTGGAGTTTCTGGCAGCATCCTCAGCTGACCATAAAAATAGTATCAGCTCATTTGCACTTCTGTCTATTCATGCTCATTTGGACAAAGTGGCAGATGCAAAGGAAAAAGAAAAACCCAGTAAAGGATTTGGCGGGACTCAATGGAAAGAGTGTCAATATAAGGAGAAGCCCCAGATCGACGAACTGCTCAGGAGTAGAAGTGTCCTTACGGCGCTGGCGAAATGTCAGATGCGGGCTGTCTCCAACTGATGCACAAATACAACGTCTGAATATTAAGAGAATACATTCATTGGGGCGGGGGGAGGGTGCATCTTCATGAAGATCTTTCTCATTGTTCATATCCTGGTACAAGATCCGTGAACTTCTCATTGAACAACTGGTAGATCCGTTGACCGACTCCGAAGTCACAGATAAAGAGACAATGGCTCTAAGAAAAGTTTAATGGCGGGGCGGGGAGGGCACCCACCGGGCCTGGCACCTGCAGGGCACTCGAGTCTAGTTCTGGAGGTTCCAGAATAAGTCTAATTTGCTCGCATGTGAAAGAAGTTTCATTTGAAACTAATTTAAGCTGCAAATTCACACTGATTCTTTTGAACTGTGTGTGGTGGTGGTGGGGGGGGAGTGGGAATCAAACCTTCTCAACATGAATACCTTGTGTGAGAAAATGGTGCTTTCTGATGGCTGTGGTTGGTGTTGAGGGGACAGTGAAATACCCCCCCAGCTGGAGGGCACAAGAGCTGGTGAAAGTATTGGTATGAAGCAAGCGAGAAGGCAGTACAATTTAGTGACAGAGGAG